GAACTCAGCGAAACCTTCTATTTTCAACATAAAATTTAGTTTCCAGACAAAAACATCCCAATTACATGCATGTTGGTTGATTTTCTGGAAATGAAAGTAGAATGTGGCATAGAGGAGACAGAAATTTAGTTTTTTTATTTTAGTATCGTTATCAGTAGCTCCTCTGAAGAGTATTTTTTTATAGTTTAATGTGATGGAAGAGTTTTCCTTTTCATTAAACCAGCATAGCACTTTGTGGAGAAAGTCGACCGCAATATGACAACCTAAGAAGGAGTGAAGTAAAGAGTCGTCATCCCCACAGTAATGACAACTCTTGTGGTCTTCAATTCCGTATAAATGTAATTCTTTCTTTGTGGTGACAATGCGATGAGCGAGTTTGTAAAAAAAAATTTTTAATTTATTTTGCTTACTGATCAACTTTATCCGCTTAAAAATTGTGCTCCAAGAGAGAGTGAACTGTGGAAGGTCGCGTTGCCACTTGCTAGGGCCAGTTGCGCAAGGTTCCTTCCTATTCAAAAAAAGCCAGTAGTAATCTTTACATGTAAATTTAGATAGGTCGACCGACAGCGACGGTGACAGATGAAAAGTGGAATTCCCTGGAGTAAAAATTGGATTGGTGCCAAAAGAGTCCCTCTCCTTTTCCAGCAGTCGTTTAGGGATAGCCGACAGAATTTGAAAATAGGTGAGAAAATTGGACTTAACTGAAAATTTCCGACAGAAATCTGCAAAATTCAAGCACATTCCACTGCAATAGAGAATGTCACAAATGGAGTAGACTCCTTGGTCAAACCAATTCTGATAAAACACAGTTTTACCACCTATTTGTATTTCTTTGTTCTTAAAAAGGATTAATTCCTGGTCTCTGTTCATGTCATAGATACTCTTCAGTTCCAAAAAGAAACTCAGAATTTGCTTGTAGAAGGATGGCATTTCAATCGACTTTAGGAAATTTTCTTCAAAGTTACAGTGAAGCAAGAAGTATAAGCCCCCATATTTCTTAAAGAAGGAACATGGGATGACTTTCCAATTTTCTGTCCCCGGCTGTCACTTTTTAGGAATCTTTGGATCCATCCCAAACGTAGAGCCTTACACAAAGTTTCAACGCGTGTTACACGCAAACCACCTCTTTCATAATCTTGATATAGAGCTTCCCTTTTAATTTTGTCCTGCTTTTCCTTCCAAATAAATTTAAAAATTGAAGATTGAATTTTTGCGATGTAGTCCTTGTGAATGTCTAGCACAGCAGCGGAGTGAACGATCTGTGAAATCTCTAGAGTCTAAACGATTAAACAGCGCCCGAAGATAGAAAGTTGGCGCGATCTCCAGGTACCCAGCTTTACATTAAGGTTTTCAATTTTTTGGTTGACATTTTTTCTCTCGTTACCCGCCTTATCGTAAGAGATATGAATCCCCAAGACTAAGCAGTTCTTTCGTTCTTAAGAAGTTGAGAGGTCTTTAGGTACGCTGTTTCCATGGACCTAGCCAAAGAGCTTTGGTTTTCGATTCGTTGAGTTTTAGGCCAGATAAAATCCCGAACTCGTTTAGTATGAGCAAGGCGTTTTGGACCGATATTAGGTTACTGCAAATGAGAGAGGTGGCTAATTTTGAGTTCCTTATGAAAGATGAAAATGCCGCAAATCGAATTATCTTGCTGTATTTTAGTCGCAAGTATCTCCGCAGATAAAATAAACAGATAGGGTGATAGTGGACAACCTTGCCTTACTCCTCGAGACAACTTGAGCTGCCT